TCACGACGTTTACGTTGGTCCAATGGCTTCAATTCTTGAGTGAGAACAATTTTATTCTGAAGTAAGCCCAAATTCTTTCTCAAAATCAACCAGGTTGTGGTTTGAGACAATCCCAATTCTTAAGAACGTCTTGGAATCTAGAAATTGTGGTCTTCAGCAACACTTGGAAATATGGAAAATAAGTACAGATCATGACATATTAAAAATGGCCGACACGACACTTAGATATCATATCATCCCTATTGGAAAACCCGATATAAGTATGATCCGAATATGAGTAGTCAGTATGACGAACTGAGGCGATTTAGTCATGGCCGTCTATCTGATATATACTGATACTATCATATAGTTGTCATACAAACTGACCGATCAAAATCAACAGAAGTTAATGTTATAAGAACCTTTGAAAACAAGTCTTATACAACTGAATTGTTTAAGAATGTCAATATATGACCGTATTTGTAGTGGAACCCCCTTTCTTATCCAATCTCAGCTTTTGAACTTGAATGAAGTAGATAACTAAATAAAGGTTAAACAAGAGGGCGTTCAATTCTAGCAGTATTATATAAGATATATGAGAAAAATGGATTGATAGTTAATAGGTTCGCATCGATTCAATAAGTACGTTTTTTAAAGGCAACTTTTAAAGACTTTTAATCGAAAGAGCTTGAAAATGGTATCGCATATGAAAACTTATCATACAAAGCGCATTTGAATCAGCCATTATTCTTGTGTAATTAAATTTATACATATGTATATTCAGCTTATTTGCATGTACATTCGCCTGATTACTATTGTATTGTTTTATTTACGATCTCGATTTAGTTACGCTTCTTAAATGTAATTAATTAGATTTCATGTGCCAGCCTCCTTAGTGCATTCACCAATATCAGAGTACTACATGTATGTTATAGTATTATTTATACAAGACACTATACCCGCACATACACAAGTAAAATTTTATGAGTATTACTCAAAGTTAAGTGTATTCCTTATTGTCTTCATAACATTTCCTTTTGTCTGCTTTGGTCCGGTCAGTTGCATATTATGGCAATAGGTCAATTGATATAAATTACTGGCAACAGCAAAGATTGAAGCCACCAATGAATTGAGTCGTTGGCAAATGAAATAATTCGATTACACATACATAAATACTTACAAACATATATTTTTTTGTCTTTTTGCTTTGAATAATTTCTACTATTTTCTTTTTTTTCTGTTTTTTTTTGCATTCTTGCGCATTGAGGTATTCTATTTCTTGACACTTGCGTACAAACATCATCTGTATAAAATGAAAGTTTCACTCGGAAAACGAAAATTCCTAAGTATTTTATGTATTAGTAAAACTAATTATTTAAATGAGAGTCTACTTATAGTCTGGAGTGATTTAGTTCGTACTAGTAGAGTGCAGAATTGTTTATTTCACTTTGTCTACGTCATGCGAAAATCTGAAGAGATTATTATATTTAAAGGGAATACAAAATAGTATTTCATTTGTTGCAGTAATCTCTAGAAATTGTGAAATCGCATTTATGCACGTAGTAAGTGCTGTACAGAGTTCTGCAGGTGCCAAAAAAAAAGGTGATTTGTGATAGTATGGGTTTAGATCTAGTAGCCTTTCTTAAAACCTCAATTTTTAACGGATCAGAGCTCCGCTGTCTTCTAGCAGTTACCTATTTCGCGATAGATGAGCATTAGTCAACTGTCAGCAGGTAATTAATTACTACCCAAGTGCGATTTCCGTTACAAGGATCGACCTATCCTAACCTAAACTGACTATCTGGAATCGAAATAAGGATGGTCCGGCAATGTCCAGGTTATAAATATAAATATCATCATAAATATTATCAGTTCGTGATATAGTTATTTTGACAAATATGAAACACTAACTTTGTCGCCCAATTAGAATACTTGATTTGTACAAGATTGGCATGGCTTCATGGTATTCTTTTACAAGTAACAGCCAGAAAATTATATCTGTTCCAAATGAAAAAGTAAATATGTATGTCGTTTATATTTCAGAACAAAATCTTGCGCGGGAAATTCAAAATCTCACTAATTGAGAATTTTACGAAACTTCGGCGTTTTCTATTAATATTAAATCCATTTATAGAAATACGTTGGAAACCTCCTAGACTTAATTAAAATTGTCGCACATAATTATGTTTGTAACTCCAGTCATAGAATCCCAGCTGTAAGAGCGCTTGGCAACAAAAGTGGCATAAGAGGGCTTGACCAAAATTTCAGTTGAATTATATAGAAAAAAGAACCTTTACATATGTACATATATGTATGTGCCTGCGTGCATATGTACTTTTATATATGAATTTATTTTAATTTTTTTTTAAATTTTAATTTCTATTCTTGTGAAATTAAATGAATTAAAACAGAACTGTACTGATAAGCGGGACTTGTAGCTATTCAAATAAAATACTCCTGCATAACGTCAATACACAACCTATAATAACAACACATAAATGTCAAACTAAGCAACGACAATGACAAGAAGACATAGTAATTATTGTATTTATTTGTTATCAATGCTTTTTCAATAAACATGCAGGCATAAGGAGAAATAACTATAAGTATGTATTAATGTAAGTGCCGCTAGAAAATCTGATTAAATGCAAAGTTGCTAGTTTATATTTCAAGCCATTGATAGTGGCAAGTGCTGATCACGCTACACATACAAAATGCCAGAACACATGTTTATGCCGGGTGCTGGAGAACGCACATACAAACATGCAATTATTGAGAAAAATAGAAAAAGAGTACATAATTATGTATATATATAAAGGCTATATCAGCAGGAAGTTATATAAAAGGTTTCGAATATTTACCCTTAGCTTATTATGTTAGGTTAGTTTAAATGTGGTTGAATATACCAAGGCAAAATGAGAGAGCAACTTAGAAAAGGAAAGTTCGGCGATTGAAATGATAGAGGATGCCACTTAGACACATTAAAATACACACATAACAGCTATTAGCAGCAGAGTTGAGAACTCTAAAAAACTAACCTTGTTTATCTACAATAAGCCACTAATATGGGGAACCCTTTAATTTGTCTATCGATATGCTAGAAAGCTCTTCTGTTCTGGTTTTGTGATGGGATCAATCGTTATAACGAATATCCATGAGTCTCATGAGTCTAACAACTAATACAAATGTTTCGATAGAAAGTTTCATACAGACTTTTATTTACCTCAAAGGTAATACAATAATACTTCTGACTAAATAAACATTGCACTCAGCTCATCGGCCGCATTGCTAGTGCCACTCTACAGCCTCTGTCGACAATCTCTTTGTTCTACATTTGAGTACAAGAAAATATTTACGAAATTATCAAATTGTCAACAACTTTTCATACAAGAGCTGCGAAGAGGTTAGACGGCGCATTTCCTAATTAAATATTTTTTGTTTTGTAAATTCATTTACAGTCCATTTCGATTCCGAAGTGCAAATTATGCGCGGCAGACAGCACGGCGATTGCTATTGGGCGAGCAAAAGGCATATACTTGCAAGCAAATCGCAATGGTTTACATACATATGTACGTGTACTTGTATAAACGTATGTATAGGGTTCTTAGAAGACGGCTTCGAAGAAAAACTATACGAACACTGCGCATACTACAGCAATTGTTTATACTATTGTATTTGAATATCGTATAAACCATTTGTGGTACTAATTACTTGATTGGAAGCGTAATTAAATGATATGCCCATTATGTATTTATGGTATATGAAATGTAGTTTCTTTTTTTGCAAAAGGTGTAGGTGGTTGAATACACTCGCACGCATCGTGAGAATGAGTTCATTCCTTCTGAAAGGGTGAACAGAGTAGGCAATTTCGTAGGTTTTTTGCCAAAGATCATTTCCAAAATTCAAACATATCATTCATGAAAATAACTTGTCCAAAAAAATAGTTTTCCATACAATTACTTGATTTGGATCGGTAAGTTTGTATGGTAACTACATATATGCTACATTAGACCGATTTCGGCGTTTCCAACAAATGAACAGCTTCTTGGAGAGTAAAGGAGGTGTGGAAATTTTTAGATTCATATCTCAAAAACTGATTGATTAATTCGCGTATATACATACAGAAAGGTGTCTGTTCAGGGTATAAAAAAGAAATAATCGTTTAGTTAATGTACTTATTTTGAATTGAATGTTAGCTAGAGCTCAAAACAAGCTTCTAAATCAATACATACGAAGGCCTGCTTAATACAAATAGCTCCATAGTGCTATGCTTCCCTTTTATGCACACGATGCCAGCAAGGCAAATAAGTAGAATTATTAGCTACTATTCCTTGTTTATTTCTAAATATTAATTTTCTTTGTGATAGAAATAATACAAAGTGCAGCTATCAAAGAGATGTAAGTTTAGGCGCTATATAACATCAAACAATCGATTGTCGAAAAGTGGTTATAATTTAAATTTTTTCTCGGGTCATGGATGTAATGACGGCTGATATGTTTAAACTTTTTGCATATAACAACTCAATCTGCTGTGGCGGAATACATTAATAGTCTCACTGCACTACTAAATTATATTATTATTATTAATTATCTGTCTGAACCGTTTCAGCTTGTACCCTCGTAATAATTTTTATCTTGCCTAAGACAATAAGTTTGAAGAAACTACCATTCCTGAGTATTTGATGGTTTTATTTTTTTTTCTAAACGGTTTTTGATTAGTTTTTCGGACTTGTATTAAACTTTTTAAACACAAAATGTTAATAAAAATATATCTTATCTACTAATCTATACATATGTATGTACAAGGCTAGACCAAAAAAATCATTTTTATTTTTAGATAACGTGAAAATAAAGCCCGAAATGAGAATCTGGTAAAATTTGCGCTCTTCATATAAAAATGTATTAAGAGTTGGCGCATTGTGATTCTCGATTTTTCATATACATATGTAGTTAGATATATGACACAGGTATATTTTCTTATTTTGTTTCATATTTAAATGCACATTTTTTCGTTAACTCACCTCAGTGAATTCCATTGCATACGTAACTTAACCAGACTCAATTTCATTTCCATAAACGAGCGCATTTCCAAGTCCTCAAGTTGTGAATGTGATATTTTTAAGCTTATATTAACTTCCGGTTCAAATTTATTCGAAAGAGCGTCGACAATTTTGTGGAACGAGTCCACCTTCTCGCACGACAGCTCCACATAGTTGTCGGCATAGATCGGTTCACAGGTACAGGGCGACAGCTCAGGCCGCACGGCGCAATGCACCGAGGCGACATTCGTAATACTCCAAACTGCATAAACAAACGATGCCATTTTGGCACGATAGGTGTCTAGCTTTATTTGTTTTCAACTGGTTTTTTCGTTTTTCAAAATGTTTTCAATTAGTTTTTGTTTTTTATTTTATTTGCACGTTGTCACTTCGACGAGTGACCGTTTATACAGTCAAATAATTATAAAATTGTGTTTTTGTTTTTCTGTTTTTCTGTTTTACTTTTTTCAAATTACTAACACAAATTGAATCTTTTTTAATATTTTGCTCGGCTGTTTTGAAATGTTACTCGTATTTATTATTATTGTTGTTGTTGCAGTCAATGCTTATCAATGTGACTTTCATCGCAAAACAATGCGCCGTTAAGCTCACAAAGCGACGTACATACACACGTTTGTGTGTTTATTCGCATGCGTGCGTGTGTGTGTGTGTGTATATGCGTGTGTTTATTTATATTCATTTGCATGTGTGTGTGTGTGTGTGTGTACGTGCCGGCTTTGCGTGATTATCACTGGTGTTTTTTATCGCATTAAAGTCGCCTTGTAGGCGTACGCTGGCTTCACGCTAACTCTTACTTTTGACTCTTAGCGCGCGTTCTTAGCCGCTCACTATCAAGCACTGTTATTTCTATATATGTTTGTGTGTAAATGTGTAGGTGTAGGTATGTGTGTTCATGCAAGGATCTAAAAGTCATGCAGCGCAGCGTGTCACGGCACAAGCACTGGCAATTAACAACTAAAACTCTGTCGCTGAGGCAGCGACTTCCACCTAGAAGAGGTGTTTCCAGGCAATAGATAACTGTTTGCGGGTTTTTCGCACGACTGCGACTTTTCAACGTGTTAATGCACAATTGCGCTGCGTTTCCGTGGTGAGTTTCGGCTTACAGTTATTATTGTGTGAGAAGTGGTTCATAGAAAAATTCTTGTATTTGACATAATTTTTTTTAATGGTGATTTTTTATAGAAATAAAATTTAAAAAAATCACTTTTCAATCTCTTATTATTTTCCAGTTTTCGAATTGCAAAAACTATATATTAACTGTTATTTTTTTTGTTTTTGTTTTTACTTGGGTAATGTTTTTAATATTTTGCATTTATTTTTGCTTAGGCCTACAATTTATGTCTGTCTTACGCGCTGAACTCAATTCCAATATACACTACAATCGGTTGAAAATTTATTTTGTATGAATATGCAAATATATACCGTTAACATTTGACATCCACACAGCGCACAGTGCACAACAACAATATAACACTTGCATTAATCTACTTTTATAGTAGAAATTGTAAGAATTACCGTAAAAATAAATTTTCTTTCGTCGACTTATATGCTTTGCTTTAATTTTTTGTTGTTTCTAAGTCATTTCGTCGCACGCTTATATATTTTGCGAGGTTTTTCCACAATTATTTTACATACTTTTCTTTGAAAATGTTATTTTGAGAATTTTACTCTCAGTTTACATTTATATTTCTTACTTATAATAAACCCGTTATTTTTGTGCGATCTTTGTACTTTGTTTCGCCGCTGAGTAAATATCAAAATTTAATCTTTTCCTCGTTATATATGTACATATAATGTATATATAATAAATTTTAAAATATTTTTCTGATATTTTGCAGTTTTTGTTTTTTATTATTATTTTATTTATAATATTATTATATTTCAGCTGATATGCGCGCACACCACGATCGTTAAATTTCTACTCAGCTCACACTTCGGTTCAGTTCATTCAGTTGAGTTCAATTGAAAATCGTTGCTCCGCTATTGACGTCCGTTTGCCAACGCGATCCGATTACGACTGGGAAACAAATTCACTGTGACGATGGAGGATAGTCGTTGTGAAGATCAGAATCGATTCTTGAATGGTGGCTGTCAGCGTTTGTCAGTGCTTTGGTTCGACGCCGCTGTTTTTGTTGTATGCGTGTATTGGTGTGCCATTGCTATTGTTGTTGTTGTTGTTGATGGTGATCGTCGTCAGTATTGATTCGCTCGGTCGGTGTTATCGCAACGACATACAACTACTGTTTTCACAGCGCAACTGTTGCAGCCATTGACAATACAGCAAAATAGGCACACATACAAGAAAAGCAGCTTTCAATCGCCAGTTGTTCGTAGCATCTAGCTCCCGGCTCCAGTCAGCCTTTTTACTACACACATACATTCATATGTTACATCTACGGGAGCTTTTTGTTGTTGTTTCATTTTTGCACTGCATTTCTGAATCAATCTGCGGCAGGCGATCGATTGCTCGGCTCGGCACCAAGTATGTGTGTTGTTATTATTATTGTACACTTGTGCCGCGCTCCTGCAATTGTTTGAATGGCTGTGGCTGATTGCTTCAGGTTCAGTTCTTGCTGTGCTCACAAACCTACCGACTTAAGTTGGGTGCTGGAAAGTTTTTATCAGTGGTCGCTGCGATAAACTCATCATATCCAATTCAGTAATTAGACAATTGTACACGCAATCCATCCGGAAGAAAGTATTCTCATATAAATCAGCATCTCTCTGTGCAATTAAATGCTGGCCGCCGTTGTTGTTGTACGTTTTTCACGCTATTGCTAATTGGCAGTTCGGTTGCTTTATTGCCTTTTTGTCGATCGCAGCTAAAGTTTTAAGTGGCCATCTCATTTTCGACTGATGCATTCGATTAGCTGTTAAAATATCAATGGAAGCGTATAAACACTTACATAGTGGCATTCTTGTCTCCTTTTCTTAACGTTTTTTTCATTGTATTATACCCTGATCAGGGTATATAAGGTTTGCCATGACGATTATAACATCTAGAAAGAATCGTCGGAGAGCTTATTAAATGTAAAACATATATAAATATTATTATTCAGTTTGACGAGCTGAGTCGTTGTCTGCGAACTAGTCGCTCAGTTTTTGGGATATCGTTCTGAAATTTTGCACTCACCCCTTTCTCCCCAAGTGGCTGCTCATTAGTCGGAACCGTCGATAACGGACCACTATAGCATATAGCTGCCATACAAACTAAACGATCAAATCAAGTTCTTGCATGAAAGTATTTTAAATTTGTGTAGTGTATTAGAGCTTCGGTGCAACCGAAGCTAACGTTTCTGTTTGTTACTTGCTTTATTTAATTTTTTTTATATTTTATTCAGCCCTTTAGGTGTTCTTGTTCATGCTTAAGCAGCTATTTGGTCAGTCCAGTCCAGTCCAGTGGCTACCTAACATCGCGATAAAGAGAATTTGTATATTTTTGCGAAATGCTCTTATGATTTATCACAGCTGATGACTCACAATTTGTCGTACTTTCCTATTTCCACACAAAACGCGCTGATTGAATAGATATTTCCCGATGACAATATAACTAAATGAAGAATAAATGTCATTAAATTAATTGAGTCTATGAGCTCTATGAGTATTAATAATTTGCATAATCTCGCAGCATGTTGCTATAGAGTATATAAGTTTTATTCACCTAACGGTTGTTTGAACACCTTCAATTAATTAAGATATGGATATAAATGTATGCTATATTAAATGGGGCACGATGACAAGAGTAGTAGAATTCCGACAAGATGAAAATTGATACACATATTACTTCGCACTCTGAGCAGGTAGGGCTTTAACACCCACAAAAAGCCCTTAACTGAAAGATTATTATTTAGAAAGTAGAACACTATGGCGGTCATAAATTCATTATTCGACTCAATGCCCGGCGAGTGATCGCGAATACAGTAGATGGGACAACAGTTCGCAGCCTAATTTGACCAATTGGAGCGTGGCGGCAGCAGAAGTATCACGGAATTGAGTCTCATAACTGTTTTGTTGTATCAATAATTATATCAGATATTTTAGTGGCTTTAAGTGCTCATGTTGTCTTAGCAATAACTGCTTAGCAAAAATTCGATCCACTTGTTCCCTTAACCCAATATAATGATTTTTGAGCTTCTGATCGATTGTAATTGATTCGCAATGTCATGGACTAAATTTTTGCTATCACCCGATGCCATGCCACGTTGCTAATGGGTGGTTACGATCTCAGCAGGTTTAAAAATGGAATCAATCTCCCGAGAAATAAATTCCAGCTACTTGTCGCGTTCTACACCGGTAATTTCAAGCTCAAGAAGCAACTATACAACATGGGCTTAGTCTCTTGTGCATACGGCCGGTTTTGCGACATGGAATCGGAAACTTTAGAACCCTGTTAATAGACTTCACAGCAGTCTGCACACGCAGAATTAAGACACATGGATCCATGTTTCCGAATAGGGATCACATCGCTTCATTAGCATTTAACAGGAGTTTGGAATTCATCAATGTGCTGGGGCTAAGCGAGTCGTTGTGGCTTAGGGGAGGGCACAATAGACCCTAGGTCGCGGTGCATACCTCACTTCGTTTCTATTCTATTCTATTCTATCCCCCGACATTTTTTTACTTCAAGAATGAAAGCTTGAAATTTCACCAATTACAAATACAGAAGTATTATTATATTAGCATAGATTTTTTCTCAGTGTACGCATATTATTTATTGTTTTTCTTTTTTGTCTTTAACATATCCATATCGTTGCCTGCGTAAAGGAAATGCTACAATTTTGTAATTGTTGGTAATATGACACCGAATTGATCAGAAACACTAGACTTGAATGTCAACATATAAATATAGCATCTAAGAATACAATAACAAAAACATTGGCATGCGTTGCACATGTGTTTTCTTGGCGTTTTGCTCTTGGCTTTGCTTTACTTCTGGCTTTCACATTATTTACAAGCAATCAATTACCCGTGGCCTTATCTCCAGCAAATAAATATACCTAAATCTAAAGAAAATGAACACAATGTGACAGAAAACGTGATAATCACAACGAATGTGACACCACACATACATAGTACATACAAACATATATATGAACGAGTGTGCATACTTGCATAGTTTCCAATGTGTGTACAAATGTACGCCTCTAAGCCGTTGGCCATACAACCGTTATCAGCAAAGTATTGCAGTTGAAGTGGCAATTGACATTAAGTACGTAAGCGTTAAGGCACGGCATGGCGCTAAAGCGACATATTTGTGTGTTGCATCGGAATTAGTGCGCTCAAATGCAAGCATATATGGTTATGTTTGCAATGGAGATAACAAGTTGATAGAAGGGATGTTGCAAGTCCATAAAAATTTGCTTATGCACACTTTCACCAGCACGCACACACGCTATGCAGTCTTACATATGTAAGTATGTGATACGTCGAGGCGCCTAACATTGCACTTATTATCTTATTTATTATTATTATCGCAAAGTGTTCTATTACAAACATAACTGATTGGGTTAGCTACAAAAATTAATTTATTGCTGCTGAAGGAATTATGTCTTAAACGCGTTGTCATTCGACTCCCGAATTGTTGTTTATAACGGCATGTTTTCCGATGACTTCACTTTACGAGTGCAGGACTGCAAGTAGTTTGTAATTATAACCTTAACACCGTATATTAAGTTAATCACGAATTTCGTAAAACCCAGCAGGAAATGTTGAAGACCGTATTACTTGTAGCTATGTTATATATTATATGTATGTATATATTAATGATCAAAGTGACGAGCTAAGTCGATTTGGCCACGTCCGTTTGGCTGTCTGTATATACGCGCTAGAGTCCCACAGTTCTATTTGCTTCTCGGAACTGTCGATATCGGACCACTATAAGATATAGCCGCATCACATACTGATCGACTTTTTTTTGACAAATTATCTTTACGAAACCCGGCGTAGATTATTGTCCAAGCTGCCCTACAAATCAAGATAAAGACCTTCATAAGATTTTTTTTAAATTAAGTAACTTAAGTTCGGTTTGTTGTGACTACAAAGAATTAATGAAATGTTTGCCATTAGATGAAACCCGTTGGCCGATTACGTTTTCAAATTTAGTTATAAGAAATACACCTGTGAAGGGTATGAAGGGTATTATAGGTTCGGTGCAGTGAAGTTAAAGCTTTTTCTTGATTTTAGCAACTTATTCGCTTTTAAATCATAACAATAGCCAGCTACCCTCAAAATAGTCCAGGTCGAAAATATTCAAATCTTAGAAAAATCTGCCACTGACTTGAACTCTGTTGGGTTTTATGCCCCAGTTCTCAAAGCTGAGAAATGTTAACCTTATGTCTTTGAAAACTGTAAAGATCGATACGATTAACCAAACTTATTAATATATGTTAGATTAAAGCTGTGCTTTGGTTGTGAAAACAAGTGGAGGTTTATGGTAAAAAGTCGTCTAAACTCTTTAATTGAACTTAATCAGTTTTTGGACCATTGAGTACCCGTAAGTTGTATAAGAAACAAGTGACCGGCTTTGTTGACAACTTTGCACTTTTTTCGCTCTATAGGCTCTCATCGGCTGTTTGAGAAATAATTTCTTGCTTTTTTAAGCTGTTAAACATTTGAACTTCGATTCATCGGCGGAAAAGTTATCAATAGTAGTAATGACGGTAGGGATCAGTACAATTGCTGTTGAAGCGTTTTCATCCTCGGTTTACTTATGACAATACTGGTCGCTTTTTTATAAGCGTGAAAGAAGCCTTGCATGGTAATTGAATAAAGAAACCTAGCAGTGAACGCCTCTCATCCGTTAAGGGGTTAGGTGTAGTCAGAGGCAAGAAAAAATGAGAATTTTCAGCAATTTTTTTTTTGCTATTAAATTACAAAAGTAGTAAGATGGCATCATTATACAATGTTTTGACTTGAAGTCACGAAAATTTCAATAAAAAAAAATTTTTTAATTTCTAAAGTTATAGCTATCTGTATTGAGCTTGTTCCAAAAAAAGGTCCTTGCGGTGACAATCATAAGTCCTTGGAGATAATGACCTAAAATCAACTGAATAAAAAAAAATTAGTTTTATAAATAGATAGGGTCTGATCGAAGATTTTTTTGTTATTTCAAAAATTAACAATATGACGGCCTCAGGAATTTTTCTAGATTTTTGGGAAAAATCAACAGTTAATTGGTCTTAAAAATCGAAATTTTGAAAAACCTTCGATCAGGCCCGAGTTTATCAGTATTCTAAAACCTGTATATAATTTCATTAAAATCTACTAAGCGGTTTTCGAGTTACAGTTGTCACAAGTTCAAAAACATAGTTTGAGAAAAACACATTTAAAGTTTCACCTACCTGCTCCCGAGTGTTTTGAAGTGCCCGAGCGCGCTTGTTATTTGTCGAATAACTCAAAAGTAATTATCGGATCAACTTGAAATTTTCAGCGAAAATTGATTTTTTGAAAACCTACCTGATACCCCTAACCCCTTAAGTTATGAACATTTTCGCAGTTACTGCCATTTTTTGCAACTCAACTGTACACACAGACTGACAGTTGGTAAATAAAGTAGCAATTACAAATACCAGTTTTTGATTTTTGGAATTAACGTATTTTATTTGTTACTCGCCGTATTAATTAAGGAATTTTCAAAAAGAAAAGCAAAACAAAAATAAAAATCACAACATACTTTTCATTGGCGCCAAATAACGAGCGTCAGTATCGCAGTTTAGCAGTTCTTCAACGCTCCAAATGTCGAATGAATGGAATGTGAGTGATGCCTGCTGCCACATGGCCGCGCAGCCTCACCGCCTGCCAGCAAGTGCGTCTAAGTAGTACTTTTCCCTTCGGTAATTTGGGCGCATCATATGGGCCACATGCATACGAGTCAACACATTCTTCAGAAGACTATTTCGCGTGTATGCGCGTGCATATGTGTGCAATCAGTGTCTTGCGTGCGACGTTTGCGAGTGTTGACGTTTTCCAAAATGGGCACAGATTCTTGCTGGATATACCCGTTGGTTTGCATGCACACACATATGTCCCTCCTGCTGGCCAACTTTTTAACGCCTCTGCGCAGCGCTCGCGTCACCCATGGTGCGGAGCCAATCTTTCGCCGCTTGCGGATTCCTTCGCTTACGCATTCCGTAAAGTTCTTTACATTTTAGTGCAAAACAATATTTAAAACGTGTTAGTGCTGTTGTTGTGATGCCAGGCCATGGCGACATTACAATTTAGTCACATACATATGTATAT